GGTGGTGGGGGGGGGGGGGGGGGTTGGTGGTAAAATTTGGTATTGAGGGTTTCTTGGTAGCACTAGTGGCTGCCTGGTTTTGGGGAACTGGTTCTCCACTTCTGGGAGCCCAGCCAGAGTCACAATCCTATAGCAATCCTCGGATTAGTTATGAACCAGATTCCACAGATCTCAAGATTTGCATGATATATCCCATTATCTTTCCTCCCAACTGGAGGACTTACTCGCACAAAGTGCATCACTGGCCACTTGAGAAAAAAAAAGAGACAGAAAAGAAGGGCAGACAAAAAGAAGGAAGAGTCAGAGTTTCCCCAAAATTCCACCACCAGGAAGTTTACAAACAAACAAACAAAAAAATAACGGTTTAATTCTACAACTGCAAAAAAAACCTAGTCACCGTTGAAGCCCTGACTTGGAGAAGCCAATATAACTGCAGAGCTGACAGTGAGGAGGATTTGACTCATGGGAACCCACTTGTTTTTCTGCCCCTGATCCACTGACACGCTAGGGAATGGGCACTGTTATCAGCCTTGCCTGAGATACCAGGCTTGATGGGGCGGCCGGTCCACGGGGATCCCAGAGCTGAAGTTAATCAGACAGAGACAGATCTGGAGCCGCCTCCTCCTCCATCTCCGCCACCACCAAAACTCGTCACGACCTCCACCGTAAGACTCTTCACACAACATTAGCCTGGTGTCTACAAAAGCCTCAAAAATAGACAGAAAGTAGCCTCAGGTCTTCCAAGAAGTGGCCAGCCATTGGCTCGAGAGTTGATGACTAGGAAAATCGTTCAGTGGCGCCGAGTAACCCTTGAGGAACGAACTTGACGTGTTCACTTCATCCTAGCCCAATTAATAAAAACCCCACAACCAAAATTAGTCCACTGGATGCAACATTCTGAAGGCAAATGGAGATTAATAGCCTGATATAAAAGATTTGGGAAAACATTCGAAACGGGACACAACACAGGCCGGATATGCTCTGACCTCCTGAACTTTGCAGAGGGTTAAAGGTCAGGGGAAACCGGTCATTAATCCTCAGACTAGAACTCTGGGGCAGGGCATCTGAGCCTTTCAAACTCACCCCGACTCCCTGAGGTCCAGTAGCAAAGTCTAGAAACTGAGCTGGAGTTTACTTAGAAAAGGCTGCCGCCGAGCATTTCAAACAGTCAATCGGAGCAGACAGCCTGTTTCACAACAGCCGCGTCAACTTCGAGCACGGGCGGTCAGTCGTGCAGAGGAGGGGGTCGTCAGAACACTCATTTCGACAATCCCAGGTGTCCACTGGGTGTTAGAAATGATTAGGCGTATAGATTAATTGAACACAGGTCAGACTTAATTAAGCATGGCGTTTAATTAACCATGTAATTAATCTTATAGAGGCCATACACAGGCGCACAAATTCCATTTGGTTGAAACTTCAGCAGGCAGCTGACACGAACTTGTAACTGTTCTCTGCTAGCAAGTCCAGTAAATTAAATGTCTGTAATAAGAATAGACGCATAATCCCTTTCATGACTCAAGAACCGAGATCTGGCCCAGGTGAGACTCCGGTGCTAGCAGTTAGTGGTAAATCATAGTTACTTTCATAAAATCTTTGACATATTATCCTCCTCTGGAGTGCATTCACAAGGTTTTAACACTGCTTATGTGGTGGGTAAAAGATATTTGCACAATTTATATTTGACGCTAAATTTCTGCCAAAGAAAACATGCAGAGTGGGAAAGAGGTCCCCGTGTACTCTGCAAATTGTAGATACAGGCGCTAACACTCAAACTCTTCAAGACTGAGCCCAAGGGTTGAGCAAGGGTCAGTGTTTGTGGTCACATTAACATGGTCATTTGCAGTTGGAAAGCCGCGTCAACAAAGAACTACCCTTTCTGGTGGAGCTCCAGGCTTGTCCACACATGCTACTCCAGTTCTCCATTACTAACTTAAAGGTCTTCCACAGATCAAGAGGTCAAAAGGGTCATGGTGCAGACTTTCAAAAGTGACCCACGATAGCCCAGCCTACTCTTAGTCCTGCGGCCTTAAAGGGATAGTTCAAAAATTGAAATTGTGTCCATTACCTTCTTCTTGTTCCAAACCTGTACTTTCTTCTGCAGAATGCAAAACCATAAATCTTGATGTTGGTGCCAAATTTACTTTCTTGTTGTGGATCGAAAAAGACATTTTAAAAAATATCTTCTTTTGTGTTCCACAGCAGAAAGAAAGTAATATAGGTTCGGAACAATATGGAGGTGAGTAAATTACACTAGAATTTTCTTTTTGGGGTGAACTATCCCTTTAAGCATCTGGGTTATTGTGCCAGAACTTTATTAGAACCAAAGGTATATCCTGGTACGTAGACAATGAAGGTAAAACAGATTTACAATGATATTTGTAAATATTACGAAATTTCCAAAAAAGCTTTAAAAAGTTATAACCTGGGTGAAAATATTTATAGCACATACGTTCTATCAGAAATGACCCAAAAATGAAGATAAACAGCACCAGTAACTGTAAACAGACGGTAAACCTGGCCATTTGGGTTAACGCAGTCACCAATAGCAGAAATTCAGGTTCAACCCAACCCCACGGTGGATAAAATAGGAACTCACATAGTCGTGGAAAGCCTTGGCCTCGCTGGAATGTTCACATGTCTCCCGTCGATCTGGAGCTGCACAGTACAGATCCCAGAATACACTGCAAAATAAGGCAGAATAAACAAAGCTGAGTATCAAATACATGGGTGAACTTCACCGAACTAAACAGCTGCCGAACTAAACACCAACAGGCTGTGGTACACTTTACACATAAAGGCCATGTGAAAAACAGCACTGAATGGCATGGTTTGTTCTAGCCCCAGTTGTTCTAATTTCTCCAAATAGTTTCTCCTAATCTTTACCAAAAATGTTTTTTGGTATGCTTGGCCTCAGCTGTGACGCAACTGACCTACTCACAAATAAAAACACAACATGTCATTTACAAGCCTTAAGGGTGTCTTTTAACATGCAATATAATTTAATTCAGTGCCTTTTCACCATTCTGAGCTTTTTTTGATGGAACCACCAAATCTACTAAGAAATACAATTCATAGCAATGAATTTATAACAATGATACAATTAATTTTTAACATCCAAACTAATTTTATTTAGATTTTGCCAGATTGAGCTGCTGGTCTGAAAACTTCCAAGTTAGCGATTCAAGATGCGAGACCTGCGGGGTTTAGGGGGCAATGCAGATTAAATTTTTCTATGGTGTGAATGTGCAAAATGGTTTCAGATCAGGCATTGGCTCCAGCACACTGTAGAAGACACATCAGAGTAAGAACAGAAAACTGATCTACTTCAGTATCACACTCAGAAGAACTTGACAGCTTCTATCAAAGCTGGGTCACTACAATCATAACCCCTGGATAGCTTCCCACTTTATGAGGTGTGACCTACAAGTGGCTAATCAATTAGGCTTGATATTTGTTAATTAAGGAAATACAGTCCTTAAGGGCTTCTAGGGGGAGCAAGTTGCACTCCAAATGGTCCCTTAATTACTTCATTGAAAATAAGTACCTGTTAAACAGGTCGGCATTAAACCGCTCTCACTCTTTAGATATTGATTTAATGGACGCTTCATAAAAGCTGCTGAGGCATGGCTTAAGAAAACGAACGCAAGTTGTTCCATCTTCCGAGGCAGCACTTTTTACCGCTGTGCATTATTTCTGCTGATGTAACAAAATTAGACTTCTGTTCTGAATGTGGGAAAAAGCTTATGTTTGATGTGACAGATTGCAAAAAGGACAAAATAGGCCACTCACGGCACAGCGACAGGTCAATGGGGCTAATCAGTTTCCACCCACATTCATATATCTTGCCGTGGAGTGGAAACCATTTGACGGATTTGTGTTCGTGAGCATAACGCAAAGGATAGCTTATGACAGCTTTCATAAATCACTCACTGTTTATGGGTGGAATAAGAGAGCAAGGTTAAACAACGTTCAGCTCAAGACTACAAAAGTAGAGGAACTGCGGGAAAAATCAAGTGTTTAGATTTAAATGCAGGTTGAATTAATACTTCTTAAAGGCAATAGGTCAGCCAAAAAATAAAATTGTGTCATCACTTACACAAAACTAAATGGATTTGGAACAAAATGAGGGCATCTTCCATGGAACATAAAAGATAAATTTTAAAGACCACACTGGTTGCCATTTTCCATGAAATCACAATGAATAAAGTCCTTCAAACTCTTAAAAGGACACAAAAGTACCATAGAAGTATTATAAAGGTAGTTCATATGCAGATCTGTGAAAAATGAACGAATGGGTATAATTCATGATTGAATCATTCAGACATTTTCTGAGAACTGCATGAACTGATTCAATGAAAAGATTCTCGGACTCAAAATAACGATTCATTCACAAATCAGACTTCTCTCATGAACATCAAAAACAAAAAACATTCAGTCTGATCTTCACACAGATTAAAAAACAAACAAAAAAAAACACTTGTACAGTATTCTTTGGACCACTTTTATGTTGCTTTTTTTTTTGTCATTTTTGAGCTTGATAGCCTTAGTCCTCTTTCACATCAAGATATTCTTCAAAAATTCACCTTTTACATTCCACTGAAGAAATAAAGTCACACATATTTGCAAGAATCTTTGGGTCAACTATTCCTTTAAAAGGGTGGTGGAGGTGATGAATTTATAACAATGGTGAAGCTCTACTCCACCTAAATGAGAGGAGGAGTAAGCAGAGGCACAAAAGACAAGAAAAAGGAAATAGAATCAAAGACGACAAGATGCATTACAAGAACCATAGATAAGTGCGTAAATGAGCGCTCAGCAGGAGGTACCATACATTAACACCTCACATCCTATAGAAGCCATAAACCAGGAAACAAATAAAACAGGTGAACAGAAAAAGCAAGAAAGGCACTTTGACAGGGGAACATCATGCCTGTTCTTCGCCCTTCAGTCAGTGCACAATAAAGCTGGGCGGCATTATCATATCTATCAGCTGCCGTTAAAGAGATTGCAGCTTTGTCAGAAAGCTGCTGGAGGGAGACAGCAGGACCATCTCAAATCCAATCAGGGTGCAGGGGAAATTAAATAAGACGCCAGTTACACTTTGTTACTGAAAAGCCGCAACTAGACACACATCAAGGTGGGGAGGAATGGCGAGCACAAGCAAGTCACGTTCGGTTACCTTGATTGCAGCAGGAAAACTTGTTTAATGCTTGTGTACTCTGCATGAACCAAGTGCGATTCGAGGATTTTTTCAACTGAGGGGCACAAGAGGGGCCACGGCTGATACAGAGGGGCCAATCTTATGTTGTGTATTTATATGCAGAACTGTAGATATCCAAATCATGTAAAGTTCAGTAAGCTTTAAAATCAGCAATAAACAGTGAATAATGGCATTTATTCACTACTGAAAATGAGAACAGTCAAATACAATTTGTATTAAACTTTTAACTTTTCAGAAGTTAAAAACTGTAATTAATAAAAGAATCCAATCTGTGAATAGAGCACAACTCACATAAAAATAATAAAACTCAACAATGCTTTAATGCAGAGCCGAATGATGAGCTGATGAGTGGCAGTTGATGGTCATCATAAGGCTGGTGAGAGATAGTGCTCTGTGTGTGTGTGTGTGTGTGTGTGTGAGACGGGAAAGCCTGGTCAATCCATGACTCATATGTTGATCCAAACCTGTGTGACTTTCTTTTTTCCATGTTACAAAATAAATTATGAGGATAGTTTTTGTCCATATGTAATGAAAGTCAATGGTCATCAAAATAGAGCTTGATTTGTTTTCCTTCGCCTTTCATTGTGTAGTTAACTATAAGGTTTACTCTATTCTTCTAGTTATCGATCAACATGTTCATTATGAAAAAATATTTAAAAGACAAAATACATTTACTAAAACATGTCTGAAAATCAGAATGTCAGATACATAAATTTAGTTGGCAGGTTCATGAATATTTTGACTTTGAGATGTCACGTGGCAAGCTCGATGCGTCACCAAGGGAAAAAAAGTAGGTGGAAAGAAAAAAAAAAATCACCACCAGCCCAGCTGGAATATTCGAAACTAAATACATGTGAATGTTTTTAAAACACTAAGTTTCTAAACGAAAAAATGTCAGTTGAATTAAAGTTTGACATTGGGCCACATTATTGAAACTACAAAACGTGATATTAATGATTATTAACAAAGTTAATATTAATGGGGATCTAAAGACAATCATAAAACCTAAGATACATATACAAAATATCTTCATAATCTCAAGATATCAGTCAAATTATCCATAAGAAGCCATTTTACATGTGGTGAATGAAGTTCGAGGTTGCGGCGGTCATGTTCGAGTTGCAAATTGTGCGTCCACCAAATTTCTTTTTATGAATATGGTTAATTTCGAATTATTTATATCCAAACAAACAATATTCGTAGATTCTCTCTACCCCGTACTGTTCTGTGCTCTGCACAGCGTCATGCAGCCGCGTAGATCAAAGTTGCCGGCGCCGCTGGTTCCGTGGCTTGCAGTTTGTTTATTAGTTAAAGGGTTAGTTCACCCAAAAATAAAAATGAGGCTGCGTTTTACTCACCCCCGATGCATCCTAGATGTATATGACTTTCTTCTTTCAGACGAATCCAGTCGGAGTTATATTAAAAATTGTCTTTGATCTTTCAAGCTCTATCGTTGTACTCAGCGGGTGTTGCATTGCTTCGGTCCAAAAGACGTGAAATAAAAAGCACCCTTCCACAAAAAAAAGTGTCTCACACGGCTCCCGGGGG